CCTATATACACACACACATATATGTTAGAACCTGAGGTAGTCCACTGAACTCCCGAACTTCCCGAAAATTACTATTATTATGAAATAAATAGTGTTTCAATAATTGTACTATGTTTCAATATTCCACTAACATTACACGTTCTCTTTATCTTGTTCATTTACTAAAGTATAATATAAACCTTTCTTTTTAATCAGTTCTGTATGAGTACCCATCTAAAAACAAAGTATAATATTTCATTTTTGATCAATATGTGGAATTTTTCATTTGAATACATACTTCTGCGATTACTCCTCGCTGTAATACAACGATGATATCAGCATTTTTAATCGTGCTTAATCTGTGGGCAATTACCAAAACTGTTCTTCCTTGAGTAACGTCATCTAGAGCATTTTGCACAATTCTTTCACTTTCATAATCTAATGCACTGAAAGTAATTATATAAAATTACAAAAATAAGTTTAAGCATTCAAATTGTCGACATATATTTTTTTCTTCTCATATAATTCCTACCTCGTAGCTTCGTCCAAAATTAAAATAGATGGTCTTTTAAGTAAAGCTCTTGCGATCGCAATACGTTGCTTTTGTCCACCAGAAAGTTGCGCTCCCCTTTCACCTACTTGCGTATTGTAGTTACTCGAGAATTTCATGATAAACTCATGAGCATTTGCTTCTTTAGCGGCTTCAATGACCTTATTATATTAAATTATATATTTCACTACATTACCGTTATAATTATAATAAGTGTTAAACGTAACGAGTACTCACGTCTTCATTTGTAGCATCTGGTTTTCCATACCGTATATTTTCCATAATATTAGTAGCAAATAAGATAGGTTCTTGGTCTATATATCCTAAAACGTTACCTCGGAGGTAACTAGCGTTAAGCGATTTTAAATCTTTACCGTCAATTGTAATTGAACCATTATTAACGTCGTAAAATCTAAAATATTTTATATCATTTACAAATAAAGTACGTGACAGAAATTTACGCAAAAAGATATTAAATTTTCGATTATAGAAGTACCTTTCTAATAAAGCAGCTATCGTCGATTTACCGTTACCACTGGCACCAACAATAGCTACTGTTTTACCTGCAGGAATGTGTAAGTTAAAATTCTTTAAAATTACGTGTTCTGGTCTAGTTGGATAACTAAACTTCACGTCTTTAAATGTTATATTTCCCGCAAGGGATTGATCTGTAATAATTTCTCCGCTAACCATCATTGGTGATGGTGGCATTTCCAGGTACTGTAATAATTAATTATTTTACACTAAATAATATTATATAAAAAAGATTTTTAAATGTACGACATTAATGTATCGAATTGCGTGAATACCTCAAAAACTCGAGCGCCAGCACTAATACCCTTAACATATGATCCAAATAATAGTGACAATTGTGATAAAGATTTTTGTATCGTTTGTGTGGCCATTAAAAATGCCATTAATTCCCCTGGCGATAATTGTCCAGTAGACAGTAAATGTCCACCGAAATATAGGGTACAAAGTAAAATACCATTAAGAAATATATTTGTTCCTCCTTGGAACAAACCAATTCCAAAACCTAACTTTTAAAAAAATCTTGTTATCAATATTGAACATGACACTACCGTTCTGATATTCTGTATGGCTTCTTCACATACAGCTGTGGATTTAGCAAGTTGATTCTGTGCCTCTATAGATAATTTTCTTAAGCTTCTTCCAAGCAATGTACCAATAAGAATTATGGTAGGTAAAGATAACGTTACAGCGGCAGTCAATTGTGGCGAAATCCCCATTACAGAAACTATACATCCAATAATTTGTGTGGTACTTCTTAAGCCTTGTGATATACATATTTTAAAGGTACTTTTAAAATCTTGAATATCACTGGTTAAACGACTTACTATTTCACCACTACGGTTTTTATCAAAGAATGCAATATCTTGCATTATGATTGATTTAAATAAATCCTGTCTTAAATTCATTGCTATTCTTTCACCCACATGTGAAAGCATATAAATATATGCAAATGTAAAAAGTGCCTGAAAAATAGATTTCTTTAAAACTAGATCTTTCTTTTCTATTTAAATTATTTTGTATATAAAATAAAGAAATATTATTTATTTGGCAAGTCAACAATTACATACTTGTGCAACATACATACGTGCTAATGCAAATGCAGGCTCTGTAAGTTGCGATAGCACATTTTTCACAGCATTATGTTCTTTACTTGATAAAATTTTTGTCAATACATTTATAACATTTCCCACCTTCTGTGGTATCCAAATGTTTAGTACAGCAACAACCATTGCACTCTAAACATTATAAACAGAGCATATAGGTGAAGCAAGATTTTCATACACATGTAATATATAAATACTTACTGATAGAGCTATTAATAATTGCAAAAGGTATGGATATAAATATTCAAAGAACTTTTTCCACTTAAATGTTAATTCTGTATCATCTTGTTTAATATTTTCCGAAACTTTCAATGCTTTACCTTCTACAGCTGAGCTCTGTGATTTTATTAAACATGTTATTGCTATACCACCTACACTACCTAAACCAAATTTTAAAATAGATGGTAAAATTTTTAATTTATTAGTATTATTTGTTGCATGTTCTTTAATGCTACTATTAAATTTTCTTTTTGTTATATTGAATAGTCTGTTTCTTTGTTTAGAAACGAGTAATAACAATGAATCCCTATAACAAAAATTATATTATTTGCATACATTTAGCATAAATTTCATATTTTATGATTCATTATATAATTTATTACTGAACAGTACCTTGAATTAATTTGTGGCCTAAATAACACTATCCGTAATATAGACATTTTCGTAAAATAATATTTTACTCGTTATTCGGTTATGTAAAGTTACGTGAATGTTTGAATTACTTTTTACAACGTATACGACATATATGTATCATTTTAATATAATAAATTACTTCTATCATTTATTTTTAATAATTGTTAGAAACGTCATTAATGTCTAATATATCAACAAACTAAAAAATGACATTGAGCAAGGTTATGTTAATTCATAATATTATGCTAAGGAAAGCGCCATGTGAAAGGATACACGGTAATCATGTTTCCGCGATTTATCGCTAGATAGCACTTACTGTGCCGTTAATTTTTATAGTCTCTTTTCACAGGTTTGTAGCAGAACAGTTGGTAAAAATATTGATATGAATAAAGTGAAAGTGATGACAGAGAAACGTTAAATCAAAAGTAAAAATTAATTTTTATAGGAAATGAAGCTGTATATATGTACTCTCAATTAAGCTATCTTAGAATTACATCGAAGATGATTCGTTTAACAGGAAACTACAAGTAAGGTAGTCTTTAAAGCTTGTTTTTAACGAAATAATTTTGATATGTTCGAAAACTTTGTAATACCAACATGCTATGAAGTAAATTTTTAGTATGAATATGTTACTTATAAAGTGATTAGAGTATCAAAACAAGGGAAATAAAGCAAATATAAAGATTTAAAAAAATAGTGTATGTTTAATATAAGTTTTATTAAGAATGTAGCTTTCATATTGTTTGTATGACAAAAAGTTTTCAAGGTATGTTATACAGAATATAGTTTGTGCGGGAAATTCTGCTTGGTTTATATAAAACATAATTCA